CCAACACCACTTCCCCGGAGCAACACCGCCCGCCGATGGGACTCACCGAGAATGCCTCTCCAACTTTTCTTTCCACCGGAAATCCCCTCCTCGATTTCTTCTTCCACGTCGTTCCCGACACTCCGGCGGAAACCCTGAGATCCCTCCTCTCCGCCGCCTGGGATCACGATCCCCTCGCCACATTGAAGCTCGTCCTCCATCTCCGCGGCGTTCGCGGCACCGGCAAGTCTGATCGCGAGAGTTTCTACACCTCAGCTCTCTGGCTCCACCTTCACCACCCCAAAACCCTAGCCCTCAATCTCCCCTCCATTGCCGAATTCGGCTATTTCAAGGATCTCCCGGAGATCCTCCACCGTCTAATCGACGGGCCCGACACTCGCAAGCTCGCTCCCGGTGCACGCGCCAGCCGTCGCACGACTCGCCGCGGCCGGAATAAGAGGTCTCGCCATGTAAACAGGAGGAAGAAAATGGGGACGAAGGAGGAGCGTCTCGCCGCAGAGCTCGCCCGGGTGAAGCTCGAAGTAGATACCGCAGGGGCTCTGAGAAGGAAGAAGAGGCGCGACATGGCGATCCGCGCCGTCGATCGATATAACCGAGATCCGAACTACAGTTTCCTCCACGATCGCGTTTCCGACCACTTCGCCGCCATGATCGCCGCCGATATTTCTCATCTCAGCGCCGGCGAGCTCGGCAAGCTTTCCCTCGCCGCCAAATGGTGCCCTTCTCTCGACTCCTGCTTCGATCGCTCCACTCTTTTGTGCGAAAGCATCGCCCGTCGTCTCTTTCCCCGAGAATCCGACCCCGATCTCGCCGCCGCCGATGACGACGCCCACTACGCCTACCGCGTCCGCGATCGCCTCCGGCGAGCCCTCGTCCCCCTCCGCCGCGCGCTGCAAATCCCCGAAGTTTACATGAGCGCCGGCCAGTGGGAATCCCTTCCCTACTCCCGCGTCCCCTCCGTCGCCATGAAGAACTACAAAGACATATTCAAGGACCACGACAAAACCAGATTCGAAGAGTTCCTATCCAAAGTAAAACAAGGCGCAGCCAAAATAGCAGCCGGCGCGCTCCTCCCGCACGAAATCATAGCTGCGGTCGCCTCCGGCGAGGACGACGAGGTTGCAGAGCTTCAGTGGCAACGCATGGTGGCGGACATGGCCACAAAAGGCCGGCTACAAAACTGCATCGCCGTCTGCGATGTATCCGGAAGCATGGGCGGAATCCCCATGGAAGTCTGCGTTGCACTGGGCCTACTCGTCTCCGAGCTGAGCGAAGAGCCATGGAAAGGGAGGTTGATCATATTTTCCGATTGCCCGAGTCTTCAAATTATTCGGGGGACGACGCTTAAAGAGAAAACGGAGTTTATAAGAAGGATGCCATGGGGGATGAACACTGATTTTCAGAAAGTGTTTGATAACTTGCTTGAGGTGGCGATCGAAGGGAAGCTGCCCCCGGAGAGAATGATTAAGAGGATTTTTGTGTTCAGCGATATGGAGTTCGATGCGGCGGGTGGAAGTGAGTGGGAGACGGATTACGAGGTGATTTGCAGGAAGTTTAAGGAGAGGGGATACGAATCAGCGGTGCCGGAGATTGTGTTTTGGAACTTGAGGAGCTCGCAGTCGACGCCGGTGACGGCGAGGAAGAAGGGAGTGGCGATGGTGAGCGGATTCTCGAAGAATTTGATGAAGCTTTTCTTGGAAGGGAGCGGGGAGATTAATCCGATGGATGTGATGGAATCGGCCATTGCCGGCGAGGAGTATAAGAAGCTCAAGGTTTTTGATTGATGGGACGATGTCGATGAGTGAGTTGATACAGTGATTGTAAACGAAAGTATCAGAGTTTTGAAGGAAATTTCGCTGATTTTTATTTGTCTTTTTTTCTGTGTCTTTCAGTCGGCGTGTGGTTCTGTTTGGAATTGAAGGTATATATGAGATAACTGTTCTTTCGGAGGAAATATTGCGCAATAAATCAGCATGGAGCTCATCGTGACTGATGTAATATTTTCTCAAGAAATTATTATTTCAATATGGGGCATGCTAAAACATTTGTGAGAAGTAGATAGAGGCTTAAAAGAGCTTCGAGCTCAAAAATTATGTTCGTGTTCGATTTTTTTGTTTAGAGAGCTGAACATGAGCTATTCACGAATAAAAATTCATTTTGATAACCCTAATCACGTAGTCATAAGATGTTAATGGTTAGGAGTTAGGACAAGATTTTAAAATTATTGTTTATTATGTTAAAGCATCATTTGAATTTAATTTAATAATTTTTATTTTTTTTCTTAATTCATACTTTTAATTGATTATAAATCTTTCTTGCCTTGTAGTTAACCGACCTTTTTCTTTTTGTAAATCGACCAACATTTTTCTTTTTGTAAATCGACAATTACAAAAATTAATGACGCTACTAAAAAAATTAAATTCCAACAACAGTGTCAAAATCTTGACTGCGGATGACGCTACTAAAAAATTTAAATTCCAACAACAGTGTCAAAATCTTGACTGCGACTTTATATATATGTGTTTGATTTAATAAGGATGTATATGTATAATATTCAATAATGTGTATAATATTCAATAATGTTATAAAGTCGAATTTGTCAACGCAAGTATACGTATCGCTCAAGTAATATAGGGTTGTAATGGAGTCCTAGTTATCGATCTCACAGGGAAAAATAGAATACTACGGACTAAGGCTTAATAAAAAGTAATACTTCAACTACAACGATGGCGTTCAATTTGTTTATCTGTCACTAATAGACAATCGAAATAAGTAGATAATTTGGATAACTAATAAATAACTAATGATAAAAAGTAGGGTTTAATTTGTGATATTCAATATATAAGAAAGCATCCTTCTCCTTGTCAAGAAATTATAGTGAATGGATAAAGTGAATTAGTTTAATTTATATTGTGCCAAATAGGAGCATACTTATTATTTACCCTTTGGTCCAGGCATAAAGAA